CCTCCCTCAGACCCAGGGTCCAGGCCCAGCCCCCTCCCTCAGCTCTCCAGACTCCAGCCCTCCTCCCTCAGACCGACCCGGGTCCAGGCCCAGCCTCCTCCCTCAGACCAAGGGTCCAGGCCCAGCCTCCTCCCTCAGACCTGGGGTCCAGGCCCAGCCTCCTCCCTCAGGCCCAGGGTCCAGGCCCAGCCTCCTCCCTCAGACCCAGGGTCCAGGCCCAGCCCCCTCCCTCAGACCCAGGGGTCCAGGACCCAGCCCTCCTCCTTCAGACCCGGGGGTCCACCCCCAGCCTCCTCCCTCAGACCCAGGGTCCCCTGGGAGTATAGCTGGCCTTAGAGGACTGTGACTGGTTGATGGTGTTGGAAATGATGCTGAAGATGGTGCGGATGGTGATACTGGCCTTTCCTGGTGGGAGAGAGTGGACTAAGCCCTTGGAGAGGAGCAGAGCCAGGCCCACATGTGGGAGGGAGCAGAGGAAGGGAGTTGCTCCTACCAGAAATGTGGACTTGGGTGTTGGACTTGTCAGGGTGGACATCTGGGTGGGACCTGTAGGAGCAATATTGTGGGACTTTGGTGGAACCCGAGCCAAAGACCTGCTCCATGTGCTGCCCCCTACCAGCAACAAGCCTGCACCCACTTCTCCTTGGCTTTCTTCTGATCGCCTGCGTGATCCAGCTGGGACCAGACGAGAGGCACGGAGTCACCCACAGCCTGAGACTTGAATCTTCGCTTGAGGGCCTGGAAGTGGGTGGAGAGAGACAGTCAGAGAAAGGGCAGCCCCATCCCAGTGCCCGGCCCACTGGCCTGCCCAGTGGGCTCACCTTGGTCTTCTTCTTCTTCTTCTGAGAGGCCAGCATCTTATAAGGAAAGGTGGGCTCAGGGACTGCCCCTGGAGAGAGAGCTGGAAAGAGGTGGAGAGAGGAGGGTCAGGGCAGGGCATGGGGACAAGGCCCTGAGGAGAACAAGCAGGGCCCACCCAGGGGAGAGGAGGGACGGGCCAAGTGTTGGCGCTTCCACAGGGAAGGCACCTGGCCCGTCAAGAAGGGCCTAACGGGTGGCAGAGCCTGCTTACCTGTCTGTCTGATGTGGGCCTGCTCCTGTGGACAGGGAGGGGGCAGTCAGGAGGGGTCCCAGGCCTGGTTCCACACTTCCATTGCCCACCCAGCCAGCAGTCTCATCCCCAGCCCCTCCTCCCTCAGACCCAGTGCTACGGACCCCAGCCCCTTTGCTGGGACCCTGGGACTTTAAGACCCTAGGTCCCAGCCCTCATGGAGTTGGGACTGTGGTTCTCCGGAGCTTTCTGCCTGAGATCTGCGTGTTAGGGCCCCACCTGGAGGTGCCAGGTAGAAGCAGGCGCTGTGGCCAAGGACATGTCCAGGGGGGGTGTTTGCAGGGTCCTGGGGGCCCAGGTGGTGGCAGGCTCCCGAAGCAAGTTGATGAGGCGGATCCAGCGGTTGAACAGGAAGCCCACCTCATGGTCGGGGGCGTCCAGCTCCAGGTAGTAGCAGCGGCCAGTGACCAGGCGCAGTTTCAGGCGCCAGGAGGACAGGTCATGGACGTAGAGGTGGACAAGGTCCAGTGGGATCATCCTGGGGAGGCAGAGACAGCCAGCTAGAGCTGGGGGTGGGGCAGGGTGTGGCAGGGATGGGGGCAGGAAGGCACCTGGTCAGGAGGAGGCCGGAGGCGTCCTTGCCCTCTGCGGGCTGAGCAATCAGCAGGATGTCGGGCAGCATCAGGCCTGGCAGGGAGGCAGCCACGCCCATGGTCAGCCGGTTGGCTCTGTGATGCACGAACACGGGGCCCCCACGATTTGTTACCTGGGGTGGCCAGGGAGAGGGGCTGGAACAGATCCTTTCTCCAACACGCCCCTAGCACCTTCTGCCTGAGCCCCCTTCCAGCCCACTCCCCGACCCTCTGAAACCCCCACCCATGGTCTCAACCCTCCTGCCCCCTCAGCCCACAGAGCACAGGGAGTAGGGGACCTGGACAAAGTTACTCTCGAACATGGGCAGCGGGCGGAGGGGCAGGTACTCGCCCTTCTGGAGGGTCTTCTGCAGCTCCCCCAGAATAGGGACCCACTTTTGAGGGGTCTGGTGCTGCTGGGGATGCCGGATGTTCCAAAGCCGGTTCATGATGCCTGCAGAGTGTTGGGTGAGTATGAATTAGGGATCTGAGGCCCAGGACCCAGCATGCCCCTCTTCCACCCGGGCCCACTGGCCTCGGCCCCTTAGGCTTCACGGGTGGTGGGAGCTCAGTGGTCACAGAGAGTGGAGCTTCCCCAGGGCCGGGAGACTAGGGCTGTGGCCATGGCCCTGCTGGGGTGGACAGCACTGAGCTGGGGGAGGAGCCTTTGGTGGAGGGCTTTGTGACCTCAACAGACACACAGGGGACTCTTCCTGGGAACTCTTCAGGAGCCTTGTCCTCCAGGGGTATGACCTGGAGTCTTCAGGGTGGGGATGGGTGAATCAAAACCCCAGACCCAGGGTGGGGTCCAGACCCATTGCACCCTCCAGAGCTAAACCTGTGACCAAACGAGGCCCCTGGGGGGTGGGTGTCTGGTTACTGTAAAGGGACCATTAACCAAAGGAATGAGAGGCCCGCCCGCTCTGCCCCTGGCCTGCTCTAGTCCCTGCGTAAGACCCAAACTCACGCTGAGCCTCAGTCTCCTCACGTCTAACAGTGTGTGGGCCACGTCAATTGTCCCTGTCACCAGGCTGTACAGAGTGGGATGCCAGCCAGCTTTGGAATGAGTCCAACCAGACTACCATCAGTTTCATCCCCTTAGCTGTGTGACTGCGAGGAATGCACCCCACAGACCTCCATTTCCCTCACCTACGCGGTGGGGCGTGTTCCAGGGTCCAGGGGGACCAGCTAAGAGCCCACAGGCAGAGCACAGCCCAGGGCTGCGGCTCAACCAAGGGTCTTTATTATTTAGATTTTTTGGGGGGGGAATGGGAAGGTAAGACTGGCATTCCATCATTCTAAAAATAGTGTTTATTATTATTTTAAAATGTGTCATGCAAAATACAGTCATGGTAGAAATTCTGGAAAATACAGACAAGAGCAAACAATGAAAGTCACCCGCATCCCATCCCTCACTTCCACCTAGCCAGCCACTGTCAACATTCTGTGTATTTCCCTCAGTGGTTCTGCATCCTGCTGTTTCAGGCCACAGGGCATCTTTGGGTGTCTCAGCAGCCCTGCCGAAGCCTCCTGTGGGTGCCTCCTGTGGGTGCCGTGCTCTAGCTAAACATCTCCCCACGGCTGGGCATCTAAATTATTTCCAACTTGTCATAGGAAGCAATGCCAAAACGAACAGCAGCCAGCCTGCAGCTCTGCCCCATGCAGGTCCTGTCAGTCACAGGGTAACCTTCTGGAACCTTCCATGAAATATTTATTGAACACCTGAAAGTGCTGGGCGCCAGACAAGGCCCAGACCCATGTTTCCTTAGAGTTCTCTGAGTAGCTGACCAGTCTCCCCTCCCCTGCTCTGCCCACTCAGGACCTCCGCCTCCCCCTGCACCAGGGACCCCAGCATCCAGGCCCCCAACCCTCAAGAGAATCCACCTCTAAGTGCACAGGTATGACAAGTTTAATTCCCCATTGTCTCACAAAGGTTTCTCACATTTTTGTATAAAAACCCAGGCTTCCTTCCCCCCTCCCCACCATAACATAAAAAGTAATTGTTTAATAAATAATATACGCTCCTGCCCAGGCCCAGAGGGGAGGAAGCCAGGAAGACACTGTGGAAAGATCTCTTAGAGATCCAAGAATCCAGGATCCTGGTTCCCTTCTCCTCAGTCCACCTGCCTCCCACCCCCGACTCCTTAAATAAATAAGTATAAATAAGGCACACCTGCCCCCCACCCAAGTCTCCTGGAGGGGCTGTATCTAACTATGGTGGGTGACGAGAGGGGCGTCCCCTGCCCTCACACCCGAAGTACTGAAATAAATAAATAAATAAGATGTGGCTTTTAAGGACGATGGTGGCTTTAGGTCCCAGGTCATAGGCGAGTCTTCAGCAGCAGCAGCCCCCGAACGGCCCAGTCCAGGGTCAGGTGCAACCCCCCTAGGATGGCGTGAGCCGCCCTGACGCCTCCCCAGGCTGAGGCAGGTGGGGCTAGGGGAGGCGCTGGTGGGTCTGGGGCTGACTGGGGCAGGGCCAGGCGGGACATCTGTCAGGAGGGGACAGAGGTGAGAAAAAGGTAAGGAATGTGGTGGAGGTCTGGGGAAAGGGGATATTTAGGGGCGGCCTGGGGGCACATTTGCAGTCTCTGGTTTGTGAGATGAGGGGTTAGGGAAGGAAGATCTCCAGGAGCTAAAAAATTGAGACTGATGTCAAAGGTTGTCATCTTAAGGTCGGCCTCCAGGACCCCGTTTTGAGGGTTGGGAGAGAGGTCTGTAAAGTTGGGGCTGGGATCCTGGTGCTTTCTAGTGAGGGCTGGGGCCTCTTGGGGTAGTCAGGGCTGGAATTTTGGAGCTAGGTCTCTGGGGTCAGGCCCAGGATCTCAGGGCTATAGTTTCAGATGTACTGTCTCTAGGACCATCATTCTGAAAACAGGGTCTGTTATTTTTAGGGACTCATTATTCGGGTCTCATGGGTGGGCTGGGGTCTCAAATCTGGGATCTCAGAGCTAGGAGCTAGAATTAAAGTTCTGAGATCTTAGGAGTCAGGTTCAGGAAATGGGACCCAAAGTCTTCCAGTCTCCTTGGGGCTTTGGAGGTCAGGCCTCACGGTCTTACACAATCAAGATCTGAGATTGAGATATTTTTGACCATGGAAGAGAGAGATGGGGTCCCAGGCTCAGGGTCTGGGGTCCGCAGGTTTGAGACCTGGGGGTCTCCGTACTTGAAATCTGGTCTCAAGGCTGGCTGGGTCAGGGTTGCTCAGGGTTAGGAGCTCTGGCTGGGACTTTGAGGGTCACTGCCTGGGGACTAGGGTGTCCAAGTCTGGGGGTCAGGATTAAGATTCTCAAGTCTCCCCCATCCTGGGGACCTTGGGTCTTGGGGTTCTCTGAGTACAAGGTCTGACTTCAGGATAAAACCACAGGCTCTGAAGTCTCAGTCTCAGGGTCTGGGACCCTGGGGACATGAGGGGGCTCAGGGTCTCGGGGTGAGAGTTTGGGGCTTGGGGGAAGTATTTTGGGGTCTGGGTCTCAGGGCCACAGGACCCTGTGTGTCTCAGGGTCAGGGTCACAGAGCAGAGATCAGGTTTGGGGTCTGGGTTTCTAGGGTCAGCCTGGGATCTTGGGATCTCAGGATTCAAGGTCTTGGGCTATAGGTTCTAGGGATCTCAAGGATCAGGGTGGGTGGTGTAAAATCTGGGAGCTAAGGCATACCAGGAGCTGCAGCCGTCGCAGGAGCCGGTCCAGCCGAGCCTGCAGGGCACCCAGCTCGGGTTCCAAGGTCTTCAAGGAAGGGCCACCAGCCCGGCGCAGCCACTGCACGTGCCGCAGGTAGGAGAGCAGATCAGCTCGAAGCCTAGTCAGCACGCCTGGCAGCTGGGAAGCAGGCTGGGGCATCAGGACACAGCTGGTACATGCCTGTGCAGCCCCCAAACCCCTGACCCCCAAACCCCAGTCCTTACCTGCAGCGCTCCCAGTGCCCCTGCACTCATGGCCAAGGTGGGCAGGGACTCCAGGTTGTGGTCTCCTTCTGCAGGGAATTTGTCTCTCTGGTGGGAAAGAGGCTTTGAACAGCTTCCTATTCCCCACCTCTGGTCCCAAACTCTCGGTCCCTGCCATGCTGGGTGGCATACTGGAAGACTCCCCCCCACCCCACTCTCATATCTGTCACTGCTCCAGCCCATTCCCTCCAGGCTCCTACCAGCTGTGCGGCCAGCTGCCGAGTGTCCGCCAGGAGGGAGCGTGTCAGGAGCACCGCACTGTCCAGGTCTGCCCGAGGGTCTGGGGGAACTCGAGGGGGACCAGGAGGTGGCCCAGGGGCAACAGCTCTATCTAACCGGAGGCTCAGCACCACCAGGACCAGGTGGCAAACACCTGAAGGCAGGAGGGCACAGAAGGCTCAAGCTGGACCCGGGGTCCGAGGGGAAGGCTGGGCTCCGCACTCCCGGTTCTCGCCAGGAGGGGCTGAGGTCGGGAGTCTCTGGGTGGAGCGCCCGGGGGCAGTTTGCAGGGCCCAGGCGGGCTTCCCTCTCCCTCCCTGACTCTGGCTGCCCCGCCCGTCGGAGCAGACGCGGCCCGGGGCGGGTAGACGGGCCGGGCGTCTCCCGTCCGCCCCCGGACGCCGGAATCTGGGCCCCGGGGCGGGGCATGAGGGGGAGGCACAGGCCAGAACCTGCCCCCTCCCCGGCCCGGGAGCCCAGCGGGCTGGGAGCAGGGGAAGGAGCCAGGGGCTCGCGCTGAGACCCGGACCCACCGACCCCTCCCCCGGGAGGGCTCCGAGGTCCCCAGCTAGGCCCGCCAGAGTGGGCGCGGGAGGCTGGGCCGCCGCGCCGGGCAGGACTCGGGCGCACCTGGGCGGCGAGGTACAGAGCGACGCGCACGGCCAGAGACGGCCGCTCCCGGCTCGGGGGCTCCAGCCGCGCGCTCGCCGGCTGCCCATCCCCCAGCTGCCCCGCCCACTCCCGCGATCGCCAGCCAATCAGCGCCCCCCGGCCCTCTGCGCTCCCTTATCACACCCCCAGCCCGCCCCCCGGTCCCCTCTGGCCGAGGTCCATCCTCCCGCCTCTTCCCGGCCGGCGGTCTGTCTGTGCGTCTGTCCTGCATGTCTCTCCGAGCTTCGTTCCGCACTCCTGTCTGTCTCTGTTCCCCTGCCTGGGACCCGTGCTCCCAGGATTGCTCTCATGTTCTAGGACTCTCTGCCTCAGTTTCCCTCGCTGAGCCTCCGTCGGGGTCCCCGGGCTCTTTGGGATCACCTCCCAGCATCTGTCCCTCTGTCCCTGTCTGGCCTGTCCGTCTCTGCTGTCTGGTTTGCCCTTTCATCTGTCTCTCTGCTCATCTCTCCTCTTGGCTCCTACTTTCTCTGAATATTCTTTTTCTCCGTCTCTGACGCCCTCTCTCCTCTGTCCTCTGTCCCTCCCTCGCCGGTGGTGCCTCCCTCCCTCCCTGTCCCCTCATCCCATGAACTGGAACCAACTTACAGTTCATGTCCCCACAGGCCAGGGGTTCCCCAAGGCAGGGGGCAGGGAGCCCGGGGCCTTTAACCCTTCCCTGTCCGCTGCCGGGGGAGCCCCGGGGGTCAGCTGGGTTGCGGCCTGGGGAGGGGAGGCATGTGCGTGTGAGCAGCAGGGGCCGCGGCAGTGAGGGAGTGTGTGCGCCTGGGGGGTTATATAGGGGGCCGGGGCGGGCGGGCGGGGGGCAGGCGGCTGGGGAGGGCGGCCTGACACATCCTGACTCACCCTCCCTCCTGCCTTTTCCATTCAGACGAGCCGGCTGCCTAGCAGGGCTCACACCGCCTTGCTCGGAGGAGGGCACGGAAGAAAAAGTTGGAAAAGTTGAAAAGTGAAGGGGGGGGGTGGTCGGAGAGGGGCTGGTGAGGTCATTGGCGTCCCCTCCCTCCACCTCCACCGCCAGGGCAGACACATGTGGCTCAAGAGCTGGGGCCCGCTGTGGGTGGGGGTCTGGCTGGACCAGGAAGGGCAGGAGAGGCAAGCCACAGGCCTGGGGAGATGGAGCTGCGAGGAAAGTCAGGGACGGAGAGAGAGATGGGGCACCAGGACAGAGATGGAGACAGAGGAGAGAGACGTACCGGGAGATGGAGAGGTCAGGGCGGGAATGGAGGCTGGCGGGAGCAGACAGGGAWACTGTGATGCAGCAGACACCAGGAATGAGGGGTCACCAGGAACGAGGGGACACTAGGAATGAGCGCCCAGAGCCTGAGGGAATCAGCTATGAGGCTCAGGAAAGTGTGAAAGACATGACAACTGCAGGGACCCTCTGTCCTCTGTCCCTGTTCCCAGAGAGCCCAGGGGAGAGAGGACCAGGACCTGGAGGTTCGCAGACAGGAGGCGGCTGCAGGAGAGAGAGTGTGGGACACTGGGCAGGCAGCGACCCAGAGCCAAGGAGACAGAGAGTAGAAGGGGGTGTGGAGATGGGGCCACTCAGCAAGGGGACATGACAAAGGCAGGGAGACACTGGTCTAGGAAAGACCAGAGACAGAGCCAGGTGTTGTGTAGAGGCGGGCTCTCTGTGCCTCAGTTTCCTCCTGTGTGAAGCAGGGGTAATGAGGGCACCTCCACCCTGGAGCACACAGAGATAATGTGAGCTCATCCACCCACATAAAGCACAAAGTAGCACTGGACAAATGTCCACCACCACCGCTACTGCCATTGCTCCATTTCACTCACAGTCCAGAGAGACAGAGATGAGCCCAACAGACAGTGGTGAGTGGGTGAAAGGGAGCCAGGGGGACAGGGACACCCTAGAGCAGGGCCAAGGTGCTGGAGAACTGAAGGATGTCACAGAGATGGGAACAAGACAGGTGTCCAGGCAGGAGAGGGACACACAGCATGAGGGAACATAGCAATGCAGTTGGTGACACCAGATAAATGGCATGGGGGGGGGGGCGCAGGGTGGCCCAGGATTCACAACCCCAAAGGGAGAGACAGAGACGTCAACCCCAATTCCCGGAGTCTCCTCCCCAGATGGAGATGGCAAGGAAAGATGGGCTCCGACTGAGCGCAGGGATGGGACTTCCAAAGGTCTCTGCAGACCCCCAGGCTGGCCTCCCAGACTGCGCTGCACGGGGGGAGGACTTGGGGCTTGAAGGAAAGCTGAGGCTCCCCCTCCCCATCCACCCCACTGGGGGAACTGCTCGGGTCTCCCGGGAGATGAGGTCACAGCCCCCCACAGTGGGACATGACCTCATCTCCTCAGGTAAGTTTTTTCTCTTTCTTTCTAGGTCTGTCATGGCCACCCCTTCAAGGGCCCCCCAGGGGCCCTGCCCAGCCCTGGCTCCCACTGGGACCCGCGCCTCTGACCATTGGGTCTCCGCCCCTCAGGGGGCCTGTTTCCGGCTGAGTCAGCGTTGGGGGCCCAAAGCTGCGTCAGTGAGGGGAGAGCTGACGTAGCCCCCCCCCAGACCGGCAGGGCCAGCCAAGGTGACTCAGGCCACCAGCCTGGGGGATGGACTGGCCTGAGGGGATGGGGGACTGGGCCTGGGGCCAGCCCTGGAGCAACACAAGGGATCTGGGAATGCCAGCCCTTCCACCCACGGGGATCCAGGAATCGCACCCCAGCCCCCTCTTCTCAGACACAGGGGTCCAGACCCCCAGCCTCCTCCCTCAGACCCCGTCCAAGCCCTAAACCATCCGTTTCCAGTCCTGCCTTGGTCCTCACCCTGGGGGGTGTGGCATCAGACTTGACCCCCTCAAGGTAACTGCAGGAGGGTGGCCTTGTGCTTGGGTCTTCCCGGGGCAGGGTGGGGACACCTTGGGCTACTTCTATGGAAACAATAGCAAGAGACCAGCCTGGGGAACCCCAAGAATGACAAATGACAAAGCAAGTACAAATAGAGATGGGGCCACCAAGGCCAGAGTAAGACCCAGACACAGGAAGAGATGGGTGCTAGGGAGACCAGCGTGGCAGGGTCCCCCACAGACTGGGGAGCAGGCGGGGAAGCCCTCAGGTGCTCACAGACTTGGGGGAGGTGCTCTGCTCTGTGGGGTGGGCGGGGGGTCCTTGCTGTGCTGGCCCTGGGTGAGGTCCCACTGCCTGCGTGTRATGACTGCAGCTCCCAGGCTGTGTGTGTCTGTCTGTCCCTGGGGGGTCCTGTCTGGCCTCTGGGGGTGACGGGGCAGGCCAGCCACAGAGGCAGCCCAAACCTGTCATTAGCGGTGAGGGCCGTGACAACTGGGCCCCCCAGTCCAAGCCGCGGTCCAGGGCCAGTCAGCCCCGCCCCCCACCCCCTCCTTGATCCCTGAGGAATCCCGGGAATTGGGAAGTGGGTCCAGATGGTGTTGACACAGGAAATGGTCAGCAGCTGCCAGGCCTCAGCCCCACAACCCCTCTGACCCCCACCCCCGGCCCCCTGCCGAGCCCCTCTGACCTGTGTCATCTCTGACGGAGGCAGCCAGGGCCCACTCAGCACCCAGGAGGATGTTTACAGGAGACAGGGGTATGACCAGGAGTCAGCCCGCGGCTTTTTGGGAAATGGGATCTGGAGTTGGACCCCTCCACCCTCTGACCAGGAGTCCAGGCCCCAGCCCTCCTCCCTCTGACCAGGACTCCAGGCCCNCCCCAGCCCTCCTCCCTCTGACCAGGACTCCAGGCCCCAGCCCTCCTCCCTCTGACCAGGGGTCCAGACCCCAGCCCTCCTCCCTCTGACCAGGGGTCCAGACCCCAGCCCTCCTTCGTCTAACCAAGAGTACAAACCCTAGCCCTCCTCCCTTTGTCTAGGAGTACAGACCCCTGCCCTATTTCCTCAGACCCAGGAGTTTGGACCCCAGACCTCCTCCATCCCGCTGGCCAGAACTCCAGACCCCAGCCCTCCTCCTCAGGTTCASGAGCTCTGGGCCAAAGGCAGAACACCAGAAGTCACTGAGGTTCCCTCCGCACTGTGCTGAGTGGTCACGGAGACAGGATAGACTAGGGATCCTGGTCCCTACCAAGTCCCTAATCTGGCTTCCCCTCGTGGGAAACCTGGCCCCTTGACGGTCATTGTGGACAGGAAGAACAGCAATGGCACTTGAGAGTCTCCAGTGGACATTCTCCTTTTACAGGTGGGGAAACTGAGTCTCAGGTGGACATGAGCCCCTTGCTCTTGAGGCACCTGACAGCCGCTGAGCCCCTCAAGCCCCCCTGTCTTCAGGGCCTGGACAGCCCCAGGCCTGGCCACAGGTTCCTAGAGAAGGCCAGCTCTGGCTGGAGCTGGAGAGCCCTCTAGGGTCCTCCCGGCTAGGGCTCCAGCCTCCAGCGTCTCAGGCTCGGTCCAGTCTYCTGGTTGCTGCGGAAACCTTCCCTAACAATGGGGCTCAGTGAGACCCTCCTCCCCTGTGCCCRCGGCCCCTCCCTCTGGTTGCTAAGGGGACCGAGGACTCCCTAGCCACGAGGTTTCCTGAGCCTGGGCCACCAGAGGCTGCCTTCCCCGCAGGGTCAGGGAGGAAGGGTTCCACAGCACCGAGGCCTCSACCCTCCCTTCCGTACGGGGTGGGCTGATGAGAGGGAGGCAGCCAGCCCTGGGCGCCTGCCCGCCTTCTCCTTCCCTCTGGAGTTCCTAAAGTCCAGAGGTGCCCCACACACCCGCCTCGGCCTCCTGGGTGCCAGTAGAGTCCCTCTTGCCCAGGCATGACAAGGCCAGGGGACTCTCCCTGCCAAGCCCTGGCTGAGGGGACTCCCTGGCAACAGAACTCAGAACCCTGGGCTGGGGGCAGCAGGGCGGGGCTGGCCGTTGCTTGGTGATGACCTTCCAGGCCATTCCCCACAGAGGCCCCAGGGCTCTGGGAGGTAACATGGTGGGCTCAGGGATCCCAGCGTTGGGCCTTTTCCTGCTGATGCAGGGCTCAGTAGGTGAGGGGGCTCTTGAGGCGGTCAGGGGCTGAGGAGCCGGCCACCCTGGCCTCCATACAGGCCCCCGACACCACCCTTTTCTCTCACAGATGGGAATGGAATCCAGGGATTCTTCTATCCATGGAGTGAGCCGGAACTGAAATCCTGACACCCCAAGGGAGAGGGAGCCCAAATGAGAGCTTAGGGTCTAAGAGGGAGGAGGGCTGGGGTCCAGACTCCTTGGGCTGAGGGAGGAGGGCACCTGGACCCTGGGTCTAGGGGAGGAGGCTGGGCCCTGGGTCTGGGGGAGGAAGGCCTGGACCCTGGGTCTGGGGGAGGAAGGCCTGGGCCCTGGGTCTGGGGGAGGAGGCTGGGCCCTGGTCCTGTACACCAACACTGGGCAGGCAGTGCCCATCCTGGCTGGGCCCTGTCTAGCCTGAGGCCAGCTTTCTGAGTTTGTGCCTGGTATGGTTCCCCAGGCTGTGAGGGAGATGTGTGGGATAGGGAGAGCTGTGGGGGTCAGGCGGCCATCGAAAACCCCAACCTCTGTCTGCGCCTTCGATGCTGCTACCGAGATGGTGTCTGCTACCACCAGCGTCCGGATGGTGAGTGGCCAGGAGGAGGGTGCAGGGACCTGGGGCTGGTGGTGGGTGGAGCCCAGGGACATCAACCTCCCCCTTTTATGCAGAGAACATGCGCAGGAAGCACATGTGGGCCCTGGGCTGGACCTGTGGTGGCCTGCTCTTCCTGATCCTCGTCATCTGCCTGTTCTGGTGAGTAGGTGGGGCTCAGTGGACACCTGCCCCCCCCAGAGCACAGGCTGGTGGCCAGGCTGAGCACACGTCCCCTCCTCTCCAGGTGGGCCAAGCGCCGGGACATGCTGCACCTCCCACCGTTTCTGAAGGGCAAATGCGACCTGTCGAGGACAGTTTCGCTGCTGTCCAAGGACCGAGCGTCAAATGAGAAGAAGTCATCTGCAGGCAGCATGCAAACCCCTGGGGAGGGCGGGGAGACAGAAGGGGAAGCGACGGAAGGGGGCGAGGAAACAGAGGAGGGGGGAGACTAGGGGCCTCCCCAGGGGACCCTTCAATATAGATATGGCATCTAGGTGTGTGTCTCGTTTCTGGGGGCTGCGGGAACAGGTGACTCAGTGTGAACCTGGGGTAGGGTGCATGTGCTTGAGGGAGACTGAGGGTCAGACCTGAGACTGGGTGCCGTGAGCAGAGGGGTGCGCCKAAGGGGGTCTGCAGTGACAGCATCCTGGGGAAGGGGGGCCGACCTGAGCTCAGTGGCTGAGGGGCACAGGCGTCGGGGGCTGCAGTGAACCTGAGGTGGAGCTGGGATGAGTGGGGGCTGCGGGCCACCTAAGCAGGCCGTGGGGTAGGACGCACACAGCCATGGAAACGTGTCCCCAGCTGTCCTGCTGTCGTGGAGTGACTGGCCAGGGCCCCCTCCGGCCCTGTGGGCTGCTCGCCCCCAAGGCTGAGCTGGGCAGGGCACCAGTGCGGCAGACATGGGCTTTCCCCAGTGGACAGCTTTGGCTCCCAGGCTCCCCACTGGCTGGTGAAAATTCCTGCGGAAGTGTGCGGCAGTGGGAGACCCCTGCCCAGCTGGCCTGACCCCTGCCTTGCGTGTTTCACCCAGTACACCTCTGAAAACCCAAGGTGCCTGTGTCTGCCTCTGAGAGGACCCAGGCCCCCTTGGGGTGCCAGGCGGAGGCCAGGGTCTGGGCTTGAGGTCCTTTCCTTCACCGTTGCCCTCTGATGCCTTTGAGCTTCCCGCTTCTCAGGGGCTTCCATCCCACTCCAGCACAGCCCCTCTCCCCAACAGGCAAGTGGTATGGTAAGGTAGAGCTGTTTATCCAAGTGAGGACGCTGGGGGACAGATGGGTGCACTGGTGGTCGGCCGGGGGAGGGGCAGCTGCACTTCTCAGTCCTGTCCTGACTGGCGAGGTCACCTGTAGGAGGGAGGGTGRGGTTAGTGACTGCTCAAGATTGCCTCCTCTCCATCCCAATGTCCTGGGCCCCCTACCAGTGGCAGGGGTGGACGCAGGGAGCCCCTCACACCCTGGCGCACATCCTGGCTCATCTGTGTCTCCCTTGCTGCATCCTTCCCCTCTGCTGCAGACCCCAGTGTGTGCCTGCATGTGCGACTATGTGTGCCTTCAGCTCACTGGAATTCATAGGACCAGGGAGAGGCAGAGGAGAGTGACAGAGGCGCAGAGACAGAAAAGGACCTGGAGACAGAAGCAGAGGTGAAGAAAGCAGAGATAGAGAGGGGGGAAACAATGGCRGGAGGGTGGCTCTGCCTTTCTCATTTTGGCCTCAGAGGGATAGGGGTGCTGTAGAGGTAGAGCGTGTCCTTTGTCAAAATTCAAGTTTGGGCTGGAGATGCGATGGTGTGGCACACACCTATGATCCCAGCAACTGGGGAGGCTGGGGCAGTGCGATGGCACGTTCAAGGCCAGCGACTTAGAGAGACCCTGTCTCATAACCAAAAAATAAAAAGGGCTGGGGATGTAGCTCAGTGGCACAGTATTCCTGGGCTCAATCCTCAGAACTGGGGCAGGGGGACCCCCAAACAAACGACTCTCCATGTGCTGGCAGCACCTCACCCCCCCAGGGAAGGAGGAGCCCTTGATTGAAGGCCTCCCTTTCCTCCTGAGAGGGGCCTGGCTCAAGGCAGCAAGGTCTAAGGCTCTGGTGGGCAGTTCCAGCAGTGCAGACCCACTGGCTGGGGTGGCCTTGCCGGCCACGCCAAGGATTTTCCAAGGTCATTTTAACTATAGACGGTTAGTTCTGCATGATATGCCAAATTTTGCAGTGGCTCACATTTCCCCTACTTACACATATAGTTGTTCATCCTTTTAAATTTTATTTTTCAGGTGCTAGGGATTGAACCCAGGATCTTTTTTTTTTTTTTTTTAAAGAGAGAGTGAGAGAGGAGAGAGAGAGAGAGAGAATTTTTAATATTTATTTTTTAGTTCTTGGCGGACACAACATCTTTGTTGGTATGTGGTGCTGAGGATCGAACCCGGGCTGCATGCATGCCAGRCGRGCRCGCTACCGCTTGAGCCACATCCCCAGCCCGAACCCAGGGTCTTTATGCCTGTTAGACAAGCATTTGAGTACATCCCCCAGCCTTTTGATTTTCTTAAAATTTGAGACAGGGTCTCACTAAGTTGCACAGACTGGCCTTGAGGTTGTGATCCTCCTGCCTCAGCCTCCTAAGTAGCTGGGGTTGCAGGTGTGCACCACTGCACTGTGCCTGGCTCTAGCCTTCCTTTTTCCCTTTCCTTTTTTTTTTTTTTTTTTTGGCAGTTTTTTAAAATATGTGTGTGTGTGTGTGTGTGTGTGTGTGTGTGTGTGTGTATGAGAGAGAGAGAGAGAGAGAGAGAGAGAGAGAAGTTGTAGGTAGACATAATACTTTTATTTATTTTTATGTGGTGCTGAGGATTGAACCCAGAACCTCACACGTGTGAGGCAAGTGCTCTACCACTGAGCCTCAACCCCAGCCCTAGACACAGATTATTTAGGTAAGAGTGTGGGCTCTCTTGAGTGAGAAGCAAGGCTTTCGGCTCTATTCTTTCTCAAACTAGCTTACTCATTTGAACTCAGAGCATAGAATATGGTGAATGACCATTTTCTCAATTCTCACAAATAGTTTATAACTAGTATCATTCTGGATGCATGAGAAAAATTAACTCATCAGAGAGAATCTCTCTGGGTTCACATCTTTTATGGGACTCCCATATGGAACATGTAGTCACTCATCCACCCATCAGCAAACCCATCCTCTCATTCATCCATCCACCACACATCAGCTCAAACCATCCACCCACACACCCATTCACCCATCTACCCATCCAGCTAAACCACTCACCCACTCATTCATCTACCCACCCACATCTGCCCACCAAACAACCAATCCATACACCCATCCATCAACCAACTCATGCATTCACCCATCTACTTATTGACCCAACATTTACAGGGTTCAGACTTTTTGCTGGGCAATGTTAGGAACAGAGACACCAAGACCCAGGCCTTACCCTTAAAGAGTCCCTGGCAGTGGGAGAGACAGTGCCAACACACAAAGCACAGCCATCCAAGCAGACCTGGAAACTCGGACAATAGGAAGACTCAGAGGAGGGCAGAGAAGGGGGGCTGGCGCTTAAAGGATGTGCTAGGAGTTTTCTGGGTCGAGGGCAGACAGCAAGGACACTCCCCACGTAGAGGGGATGCACAGAGGTCACTGCAGAGAAGGCAAGAAAATGGCCTGGGCTTAACCAGAGGGCAAGAGGGATCCACGGCAGGTCCTTGAGCAGAGGCCGACAGGCAAGCTGGTGTGTTTAGGAAAGGGGATACAGTAGTAATTCCTCCTCATCCATGTGGGATACGTGGGATACSTGCTGACATTCCAGGGATGCCTGAGGCCAGGCATAGCACTGAACCTTACATCAGGTAGAAGGTAAAGGAGAAAGGCGAGGGAACAAGGGCGGTTCCACTCCTCCTGCCTCCGTGGGTCCTTCTCATAGGACTACTTGTCAGGAAAATCCGAGCTCCTCCACCTATGTGTCGCATGATCTTGGGCAAAGGTGGCAGCTTTATTGACCTCAGTTTACCCCCTGTAGAATGGGGATAATAACACAGTAATCTCAGGCACCCAATCCCCTGAGAGGATTAAATGGGGTCGGCTTGAGGGTGGTATTTCCGAGTGCTGGGAGTGCCTAACCTTGACCACTCCACCTCCGGACTCACGTCCAGTTGCGGGGATCATTCGTGCCCGCCAAGTCTGCACCTACGCACGGCGGTCTGGCTTCTGTTACCCTGCCTCAGTCCCCTCCAATCTCCGTCTCCTGCGGTTCCTGTCTCCCTCGCCCCTCGCGGTCGCCATCTCTCCTGGTCTGTTTCCACCTCCACGTCTCCGCAGGACTCCGCTCACCTGGGGCTCACTCGTTGCCAGTGCCTGCAGCCCCCGGCCCGGCCTCGAGCGTGGCGAGCTGMAGGCGCACGCGGCGGGCGCCGGCGGCGGGAGGCCCGGGCGCGCGGGCGGCTCGGCGCGCTCCGAGGGAGCCGGGCGCTGCGCGCGGGCCGGCGGCGGGCGCCGACCAGCGGCGGGACAGCTTGCGCGCCAGGCGGGCGAGTGCCGAGGGCCGCAGGCCGTAGTCGCGCTCGAGCTCCTGGCGCGAGATCTCGATGTTGCCGGTGTACCAGAGGATCCAGCCGAGCAGGCTCAGGAAGACGAGCAGCGCGCCCGAGTAGATGAGTAGGTCGCCGAAGTCGCGGCCGCGCACCTGCAGTTGCGCGAATACGCCGGTCAACAGCGCCGCCATGCCCGCCACGTCCAGCGCCACGGCCAGCAGCAGCGCCATGCGGCAGCGGCCCAGGCCGGCCGCAGGGGCGGGCGCCGTGGCGGCTCCTGTCACCGGCGGGGCCCCCTGCGAGGCGCACGCCGCCGGTACCGCCGCCATGGCCTCGCCCTGCTAGCCGCGCGCTCTGGGAGAGAGCGTTCCGGGGGTGCGGCCGCCCGGGGCGGGGTCTGGGGCCCGAGCCAGGTGTACCCGGGGCCCGCTGGGTCACCTGAGCTGAGCCGGGCGCGGCGGCCCGGGGCCTGACTGAGGGCCTGTGCAGCCGGACCCTCAGGGGCCTGTGCTGGTGCGGATATGGCTGGTCAGGGTGTCATACGTCATGGAGCGCCAGGCAAATTCCTGGTGGAACTTCAGGGTGCCACGGTGGAGACAGCAAGGCGTTGTTCTCTGCAGTGCCCACATCCCCATGGTGGACACTGCCGGGGTCAGAAACAAGAGCAGTTAAGGCCCCCGGACTCCAAGGAGCTCTGGGATGCAGAAAATGAASGTCCATAAGGGAGGAAAGGGCGGAGGCTTTCTCTCTCTTTCCTTTTTTGGTGCTGGGGATCAAACCCTCAGGCCTCATGCATGCTAGCATAGGCCGACACCGCCCCAGTCCCTTTGTCGACTTCCCCAGGCGCAAAGATGGAACTCCCTCTCTGGAGGGACTGATATCCATCAGACCTAGAGTGTGCTAATGGACATAGCAGGACAAGCCCGAAGGTCAGGGCTTATTACCGGTGAAGGATGAAGCCAAGGGCACAGATGTGGACCGGACAGGGTCCCCGCCCTCAAGGAGCTCCCGAGAAACCGAGGTGGCACGGGCACTTTCACTCCTGGTGTCCTTCGTAGGTGTCTCCTAAGGGGCTCCCCCCAGGCCAGGCCTAGCTAGGGAAGCTGAGGACACACATCTGGTAGGGCTCCTGCTCCCCAGCCTGACTCTGTCCACGCGCTTCCAGGGAGCCAATGCGGGTAACTAGGGCAGAGGCATTGAGGCACAAGCAAGAGCCTAGGCGAACGGCCCTGGAATACTAAAGGGAACCAGACACAGTCACAGGTAAAGCTCCCTTCCTTCAAACAAACTAGTCCTTAGAGGAAATTCACTCTCCCCTGGGGTGGCAGTCTGAGAGACAGTTATGTCTAGGTTCTCCCCAAACTCCAGGTAGCAATTTTAGATTTCAAGAAGATTGGGGTACATTTGCTGGGAGGGACTAAAGGATTMACCGAAGGCTTCCGAACGTTGCCAAATGGAAACCGAGTGTTTCTGAAAAGATCCGAACCATGCTTGGGTGACTGGGGTAAAGCAGCTGGCTGACCCTTCCGAGCGACTTCGGACATTCCGAAAATGCCCGAGCGAGGCTCAGTGTCCCCATCGGGAATAGTCGAGGTCCTACGAAGAAGAGCGGAAGAATCCGAAGACGCCAGGGTTATGTTTAAATCACACACTCTTTCAAATTCACAAGAGTTTATTTATTGCCCACTATGTGCCGCACACAGTGCCAAGCGCTGGGTGAGCAATACTGCAGAGATGTCTTTGAGAAATAGGCCTCGAGGTTTCTCGAATTGGTTCCACTCGGAATCCACCGTAGAGTTCCGAAAATTTCCGAGCGACCACGGAACCGAGGCTTTCCACGGTCGAGAACWCGCCTCCTCCTTTTTACCCGAGGATTTCCGAAGGCTCCCGAGCGGTACGCGACTGTTGGCGGAAATAGCCGAAAGCCCCGGAGCCGCCTCGGAGGCGGGGCCGAAAGGAGGGAGGAAGCGGAGGCCAGCGACTTCTGGTACAGGCTCGGAGGGGAAGCGGAAATGCGTATGCGGTATTAAAGGCGTGGCTCCGCCCCAAGCGTTCCTCTTTCCGTCTCCGGTCGTCGTAGCGAGAGGAGGTGAGCGTGCGCTCTCCTTCCCCCCCCACCCCCGGCGCGGCCGCCATCTCTCGCTAGCCGTGGGGTGTGAGCTGCCCGGCCTGGCCCCTCTTTGCACCTGGGGTCTTTGGCGTTCCCCACCTCTGTCGCCCGTAGTTGTGGAGTCACGTTCTTCCCCTCCCCGGTCCCTACAGACGCGGCCGCCCCGTTCGGTCCGCCTCCTGGGATCATCAGCCCCGCCCGACGGAGGCTTCTGCCTGCCCCGTGGGCACGTGGGTCAGGGTCCCTGTGCCGACGAGGCGCGGTGCGCCAGCGCCGGCCTGCTGCTCSGGCTGACGCCTCGCTCGTGCCCGCTTTCTTGACAGCCTGCACCATGTCCGCGCACCTGCAGTGGATGGTCGTGCGGAACTGCTCCAGCTTCCTGATCAAGAGGAATAAGCAGACGTACAGCACCGTGAGTGGGCCGGGGCGGCTGGCCACCGCGGGAGGGTTGGGGGCGCCGCCTCCGCGTGTCTCTGGCGGCAGTGACATTCCCTGCACCTTTCCCAGGAGCCCAATAACCTGAAGGCCCGCAACTCCTTCCGCTACAACGGGCTGATTCACCGCAAGACTGTGGGCGTGGAGCCCGCGGCCGACGGCAAAGGCGTAGTGGTGGTCATGAAGCGCAGATCCGGTGAGCGTCGTCGGATAGGGGCCCTTTCCCGGGCTGGGAACTGGGGTGCTTCCCTCGGGCCAGCGGACGGGTTCTGCCGGGGAATGGAGCGTGCCTGGAAGCCCCTTCCTTTCCTCTGCCCCATCTGAGCTGGCTAGGTCACATCTTGTTTCTTTACCTGTAAAGGGAAACTAACAGAACCCGAGCTTCAGAGGGTTGTTGAGATGGTTCAGTTGCTGGGTTGTGCAGTTGTGTGACATTTTCAGATGTCCTCAAGACAATTCAGGTGGGGTGATGTCTGGGTCTCACTGATGTGAAAATTGAGACAAATAAGGAACTGTCTCTTCTTTCCCTGTAGAGAGGATACGCTGGGTCCAAGTATCAGTTTGACATCTATCCCAGAGTTCCGCTGGCTGAGCTAAAGAGAAGGGGTCCTGAAGAGCCCGCCCTGTAAACTGCTCTCAGGCAGATAGGCTTGTTTGTTTTACCCAGAGTACTTGTGGGAGGTCGAGGGAGGCGGGGATCTGCTGTGGGATACCCACCTCCACCTGGGCTTTTTAAGATAATGAGTTTTCCTTGGGTTCTCAGTGGGACTGGCTTCTGTTCTGGTTCAATGCCTGGTGACCTCAGTGACTCCTGCCCATCCTGGAGGGAGATAGTGTCTCTTCTCGGGAGCATCRCAGCCCAAGGAGTCACCAGTTGATTTCCCTAGTGGACTTAAGAGTTCTCCTGAGGACCATTCTGGAGCCATACATCCTAAGAACTTTTGATTCCTCTCTTGAATTGTTGAACACATGAGTGCCTTTATGGGGCTAAAAATCCGCATGGTGACAGCCTGGTGTCTTGGGGAAGCTGTTTATGTCCCAGTATCAGGAGCATGATTCTGGCTAGGYTTGTTAGTTCTAACTATGTCCTGATGGATGGCTGCTTCATGATACAAGAAAAGGACATTTTCACATGAACGGTATTGGGAGAGCATGGAAGAATTTTGAAGATCTTTTTGATGCCAGATAACGAAGCCCAGACTTCGCTTTGGCTTTTCTTGGCATCTGGGACCTACCATGCTAAACACTCTTGCTCCTTCAAGATTGTTCCAGACTGCATAGCCTGGGCCCTGGAACACTGGAATATTGTGGTTATGGGGTCTAGCTTAGGAATAGTTAGCTCTGCTACATGGGGCCTTGAGAGTCTGTATCCTGTTGCCTCTGTTGTATTTCAGACCACTGTGAGGCCCTCGGCCTGAGTGTCTCGTGGATAGGCAGGCTGTCTGCTGGTCTGGTCCAGGAGGCTGGGGGGATGGCTGGGCAGTAGTTTGCTCAGACTCACAGCCAAGGGTGCTTTGACTCTTGTGAGATTGTATCCTCTTACCCGGGAGGCACACTAGGGCCTAGGCAGTTGAACTGACCCACAGACTCCCTCACCAGGCCAGCGAAAGCCAGCTACTAATTATGTCCGGACCACCATCAATAAGAATGCACGGGCCACACTCAGCAGCATCAGGCACATGATTCGCAAGAACAAGTACCGCCCGGACCTGCGTATGGTGAGTGTTCAGAGGGCCTCTGGGTAAAGGGGGGAGGGATGGGCTGGGAAGGTCAGGGACCTTTCCTTTGAGCTCCACCCCAGGGACACCTGCCCCCCTCCTCACCGTGTGGATCTGGGAGGCAGGCATTTGGGGTGGCCCGAGCCTGTTAGCTGAACCCCACACTGCCCTTGCCCTCAGGCTGCCATCCGCAGAGCCAGTGCCATCCTGCGCAGCCAGAAGCCTGTGATGGTGAAGAGGAAGCGGACACGCCCCACTAAGAGCTCTTGAGCCTCAAGCCTTCTAAAGCAATAAAGACGCAGCTGACTTTCTTTGGCTCTCTGTGTTGTCACTCAGGCAGCTTCACTAAATCTCTTAAGTGTCCAAGTGTTTTTCTGAGGGGATAGTCGGGGCTGGACATGCAGGAAGGTGGGCAGGCAACTGTTTCCAGAAAAGGCTTGCTTGTCTCTTATCTAGACACTCCTTTCTGGAGCCCCGTGGGGGTGAGGTTTCTTCCAGCCTGGAATGGTAGCAGCCAAGGAGCTGTGGGCCCTGATGGTGCTCTCAGCCCAAGTCTAAGTCCTTGGTATCACAGTAGGGTTTGGGACCCTGGAACCTGGTGGCCCACAGGAGTGAAGTCCTCTGATGAGAGAGTCCTGCATGTCCTGGGCCTGAGCTGCAGGGGGCTACCTCATGTGGCCCCATCTTGGAGATGGGCATTTAGTCCACATTGGCTACCCAGTAGGGGGGCCAGCAGCCAGCCTCATAAATGCCCCATCTCCTTGGGGACAAGATAGGTGGTCCCAAATGGGAGGCTCTTTGTTAGGTCTCAGCTTAGTGTCTCCTTTGAAGGGATCTTCACTGATGTATGTAGTTTCTCCTGGGTTCCCCAGCTCTTTGTGTGTTTGCTTCTTAGTGTTTGTTGTTATAACCTGTGACATCGGGACCTGTGTGCACACRGAACATGGGCTGCCAGAGTCCTGCCACTGACTGGGCTATTCCACCTCTGCTACCTTGCCAGAATGAAGTGGGTTAATGAATCCAAAGAGCTGAGGACAGGGGCTGTAGTAATTATTAATGGCCTGTATACTAGAACATGTACTGTGAGAAGCAGAACCTTGTCTCCACTTTTGATTATGTCCAGATGTGTCTACCCAGTGACGCAGCTCAGCAGTATAGCAGAATACTGTAATATTAGGTCTGAGT